GAGTGGTGGTGGGCTCTCACCATGACAATAGCAATCATTGTCATCATTGTCATCATCGTCACAAGCGAAGCTTGTATTCAGTGAGTACTTACTAAGTGCAAAGCCCTGAGCTCAGTTCCTTACATAGGGCATATCACCAATCCTTTCAACAGCCCTCTGAGGCAAAAGCACATGTTGCCTTCAACTGTCAGATGAAGAAACAGAGGCTCCGAGAGGTTAAGTAATTTGCCCAAGGTCACACCGGTTGTAAGCAGGGAAACCAGGATTCAAAGCCTCTCTCAATCCCTGTGCTTTGAATCACATTCTCTTGGGATTCCTCTCTCACCCTGGGTTAGCAACACAGCACTAAGCATTCTGGGCCAGGCATTTGAGCTTCCTGAAGGACAGCCCAGGTCAGCTCATCATCATCCTGTGTGGAATGGGGAGTTTCACAAGATAACTCATCCTTCTGACAAATCTCCTTTACTCTAGTTGCCTGAAACTCTTTTTATAAAATCCAGATACTTGAGAAATGGAGCCTTCGGCATCCTCTCCCTCCTCTGTTTCCCCTTTCACCTGCTCCCCCATGGCATCCAGTTGGCTAGAAACCTCTCTGCAGTTTATTTACCTCTTAATAAGCCCTATCTCCTCTCAGAAAGCCGTTTAGCACTGCACCACTTAATTTTCCTCATGGCAGAATCTGCCAGATGGAGCCTTCATCCCAAGTTACGTTGATTTGTCTTATTTTTAAACAACAGTGAACATCGCATAAAACTAAAATAGCAGTCAGTTCACAGGTGTGGACTCACTAGCAGGGGGACAGTCCAGGATGTGTGGATGTGTCCACCTGGGGCAGCTGTCCCAAACAGGCCAGATTAATGAAAGACTGACTTCTGCAGGCAGCTCCTGGCCAGCTGCTGGTATTGCCTGGGGTTCACTCAATGCAGGAGCATCAGTCATCACTGCCCCCGACTGAACCCCCTTGGGTTCTGCATTTCTGATTTTTCTACAGACATGGTTATGACAGTGGAGGAAACAAAGTGGACCCTAGAGAATCAAGAGACCAACATAAAGTAGCACAGTGCAAGAAGGAAATGTCCCTGATCTTATTTTTTAATCCCTAAAATTCCTACAAAATGGGCCTCTGATTCCATAACATAGCTATGTTTAGTTACTATCAATAACATTCTTCAAATTTCATACCAGCCAGACGACTAACCTGTTTCTCCTAAAATTTTTTTAAATGAACACCCCAAAGTCATATTGATCCCGTAGCTTTATTACTCCTAGATGCCTACCAGGGTATTCTAGAAGCATGTGTGCTTGTGTTTGAGAAGCGCAACCCTGGGACTGGGCAGTCTCTGTCTTGGGGAAGGCAAACGTCCAACAGTGACTGAGAATGTTCCCTCACCACTGCGTGCTGTCCTAAGGAAGAGAGGATTATGTCTAAAGGAAAGACAGGCAACCATTACCAGCACAGCAGTGACCTCCTTGGGATCCAGCAAGTAAATGTAAAGAAGAGAGAGACTAGTCTGACTTACTGCTTGTGGGTGGCTCCATTGATACTGACATCATAGCAGGACTTGGCAGGGCAGTACTCCAGCCCAGCTCACAGAAGTGACAGCTCAGAAAAACACATATGCTATAAGCTCCTCTCCATAGCACTCCATCTTCCAGCACCTTTATAACCCACAGTACAGTCCTTTATTACAAAGGGGAATACGCAGTACAGTCCTTTATTACAAAGGGGAATACGCAATGAGACTGAGTGTTCATGGGTGCAGGTACATTGGCCTTGCCTTTGATATGCTCTCTATGCAGATTATGGACAACTAGCATGTGCCAAAACCTTCAACACCAGTGTGCTCTGGGAGGGTTGATGATCAGGATATTGCTCAGAATGAAAGGTGTTCTCCCTGATTCCAATGTCAAACACCAGGTAGAATGCTGAGATGATAGCATTTAACTGACAAGCCACTTCCCCAAAGGCATCCAGTAGGACCTGGTAGCCAAAGGAGGGGAAAAAAGAAGAAGACAAGACAGGATGAGTGATAAATTCTTTATTCCTTGGGACAATTTTGCTGTAATATTTAAGGATTTTTTAGAGCACTCTCAAAAGAAAAAAAGAAAATCAGTCTTTCCTCTATAAGATTCTTTTCTCACAGAGACTATGGACATTCCAATGTCTGTAAGCAGCCTTATCCATGGATATTTAACAGGTTTTCCCAGGGCTACTTTGAAGAAAACATATAATCCCCTGAGTCAGCAGAGAGGCCATGAAGTGTTTGACGGTTATAATGGTGCTCTTGGTGAAGGAGTTTCCACCCTAAGTATATAAAACAACCAAATTTTTAAATAATCAAATGTATTTCCAAAATGACACAGGGAAACAAATCTGGGGTGACTGCCCCTATTATTCATAGAAAATAAAAGTGAGGGTTGAGGGGAGATGGGAATGATTAACAGGTACCAAAAAAACAAAACAAAACAAAATAGTTAGAAAGATTAAAACCTAGCATGTGATAGCACAGCAGGATGACTATAGTCAATGATAATTCAATCATTTACTTTTAAGTAACTAAATGAATATAATTGTATTGTTTTTAACACAAAGGATAAATGCTTGAGGGAATAAATACCCTGTTTTCTATGATGTAATTATTACACATTGTGTGCCTGTATGAAAGTATCTCATATACCTTGTAAATATATATACCTACTATGTACCCACAAACATTTTAAGGAAAAGAAAAGTGATATGGGTGAGTGGAAGCACAGAATGGGCTAATCAGCTGAGAAAGGTGCTTGGAAACCTGTTACGTGCTTTGGCATGTAAGGGGGAATTATTACTAAAATTCCACAGACACATCATCCCCAAAATCCTCAGACGTGGTCTCAATAGTCATTTGGTTGACATTTAACCATCTCTGCTGCGCTGAGCTCCCAGAGCCATGGAGCACTTCTGCAGAACCCTCTGGTTCTTTCGAGTTACAAAGTTGTTCCCCGATTCAAATGCGGTTCATTTTACAGACCTGGCCTTCCAGATGGAAGCACCTTTGTTTCAGGTGCCTGGGGAAGCCGCCTGAGATCTTTTATGACCAGGAAGATTGGATCCTAGGAAGACTTGTCTGAGGTTCTCCAGAGGGCCTCCAGAAAGGGAGGAAGACACCAAAACCCTCTTCCTCCTTAGGGACTTTTGTGAAGTCAAAGGAAAAAACTGCAATTCTAATCACGACTCTTTCTCTGTGGAAGAGTAGACTTGTCATGCCCAGGACAACTCAGATCCAGCAGAAACAAACAATAACATACCCAGAGGGGCTCAACATCAGTGGAGAAGCCCAGCAAATGAAAGCCTGCCTCTCCAGATCTGGCTGCCTTCAGAGGCACCCAGCTCCAAGCCAGGTGGGCTCAGTTAGAAGGCCACATGTGGGATATTAGTTTGGTTTCAAATCCCACATTTAAAGCGGGACATTTCCAAATGCAGACAGATGAGTCCACACCTCCGGAACAGATCTTGAAACTGTGTCACACGAGGAATAATTGAGGGCACCTGGAAAGTTAAATTTAGCTTGGTATGCCCAAAAGTCTTCATGGGATACCTGATGAATGCCTTAAAATATTTAAAGAATGGTGGAAGATGGAATAGACTGTGTTACCTGGAAGAGCAGAACTGTTTAAATATTTAGTTAGGCAGAAGAAAGACTTTCTGAAATGAGAACTCTTTGAAAATAGCACACGGACAAGAGCAGTGTCTCAGGCCTGTAATCCCAGCACTTTGGGAGGCCAAGGCAGGAGGATCACCTGAGGTCAGGAGTTTGAGACCAGCCTGGCCAATATGGTGAAACACCATCTTTACTAAAAACACAAAAGTTAGCCAGACATGGTGGTAGGTGCCTGTAATCCCAGCTACTCAGGAGACTGAGGAAGGAGAATCGCTTGACCCAGGGGGGCAGAGGTTGCAGTGAGCCAAGATCATGCCACTGCACTCCAGCCTGGGCAACAGAGCAAGACTCCATCTCAAAAAAATAAAAATAAAAAAATAAAGAAAATAAAAATAGAATGCATTGCCTTGAGAAATGGGGAGTTGTTAGCTGGAGGTGGGAAGGCCAGGCTGTGGTACCACCTGCAGGGAGGTAGTATACCCAAGCAATAAAAACTCTGGGCTTTGGGCTGGACCCAGGCTCAGGTTCCAGCTCTGTTTTTGTGAGACTTTGAAAATTTCTTTTTGACCCCCAATTACCTCATTGGTGAAATTGGTATAACAATATCTACTCCTCTGGGTTATTATGTAACTAAATGAAATGTTAATTAACACGAGTGCCTGGCAGGTAAGAAATGCTAAATTTGTCATTGCTACTCCCACTATTATTGTCTTAGTTTGATAAATTGGATGAGAAGATAAAATAATTCACTCTGATTTCCTTGACCCTCTAATTCTACGGTTACTGTGAAGTCTCATTCCATCAAAGCTCCTGGTAGCATCTTCCTGATTCCCTGACTGCCCAGAGGATTCTGTTTCAGTGTGGCTCTGGCTCTTCCTCAACAATGGCAGATATCCTCGCCTTTCCTATGATCACTCTCCATATAATCAAAAACAATCTTTCCTACAGCCCAGTTCCTTGAACCCCTGTTTTCTTTGGTAATAACTGGCTATTCTGGTAAATAGTGGATATTAAGAGCAGTACCGCATCAATATGACAATCTAGTTACCGTCTCCTTTAACGTTTTTCTCTTGCAAGGAAGCAAGGGCTGAACACAGGACCTGGCCACGAACTGGCAGTCAAGAAAAATTCTAAATGTTCGTGAGGACAGATTGTTACTAATGAGATTCTGTAGGTTATGTTTGCCTGTTCTAGAGAGATCATGAGGTGGTCGTTCAGGAGGAGGGTAGAATACAAGGCACTCTCAGGACAGGCTGACTTGGGGGACATTTAGGGGTCGGGGGACCTTCCTTTGTTCTCCTGTTAATTTTCTGAGGAAACTTAAAGCTGACTCAGACCCCTGTCTTTCTCCTACCCAAGAAAAGAGCAGATCTATGTACAGAAGCACTGGAAGGATGTCCGCGTGGGAGACTTCATCCAAATGCGATGCAATGAGATTGTCCCAGCAGACATACTCCTCCTTTTCTCCTCGGACCCCAGCGGGATATGCCATCTGGAAACTGCCAGCTTGGATGGAGAGACAAACCTCAAACAAAGACATGTCGTGAAGGGCTTCTCACAGCAGGTAGGGCTCATTCTAAGATCTTCAGTGGTAAAGTCAAAGAGAGGAAGCAAGTCTACCCTCCTGGAAAATTGAACTAACCCTACTGGGTAGAGGGGAAAGTAGTGATGCCTCCTTGTCCCTAGCACTTTAGATACCCTAAATCTTCCCAGCAGCCCTCTGAAATGGATCTGATCTGCATGTCACAGGTGAGGAAACAGAAGCTTAGGAAAGTTAAATAACTTGCTGAAGGCCTCAGAGTTTCTAAATGGAGATCCACTCTGTTCAACTGAGTAAACTATACTCTCTGCTCTAAACTGAGGAATCTAATATCTGTTCCATCATCCCCAGGACCAATTCCTCTTCTGTGCTCATCCAACCCCAATTCACTCTGCCCAGCTCAGCCCTAGCAATCTCTCCTGGCACAAATCCTAATCCTCCTTCTACCCCTCCTAAACTGAAGCAAGATATTATGATATTATTAACTACGTTTCCATTTATGTGTTCCTAAACTTCTCAACAGTGCTTAAGCCTCCTTGAGGGCAGGGAGAGATCATTGATACCTTTTTTTTTTTTTAAGAGACTGGGTCTCTACCGGGTGCATTGGCTCAAGCCTATAATTCCAACACTTTGGGAGGCCAAGGCAGGCAGATCACTTGAGGTCAGGAGTTCAAGACCAGTCTGGCCAACATGGTGAAGCCCTGTCTCTACTAAAAATTAAAAAATTAGCCAGGTGTGGTGGCAGGTACCTGTAGTACCAGCTACTTGGGAGGCTGAGGCAGTAGAATTGCTTGCACCCAGGAGGCGGAGGGTGTAGTGAGCCAAGATCACATCAGTGCACTCCAGCCTGGGTGGTAAAGTAAGACTCCAACTCAAAAAAAAAAAGAGAGAGAGAGAAAAACTGGCTCTCACTCTGTCATTCAGACTGGAGTGCAGTGGCACTGACACTTTTGTTTAATACCCACCCTTAAATAAATGGTACCTTGGACATCATGAAAAAATCATTATTGTTTGGTGGGTAAAAGCTCAGGCTCTGGGGTCTGATGGATTCCAAGCCCAGGCCCCACCCCTCCTCAGCTGTCTCACCTTAGGCAAGTCACTAGCCTCTAACACCTTGGTTCCCTCATCTGGAAAATGGGGACAAAGATAGTTCCCTTTCCATAGGGTAGTTTTGGAGACTAACTGGTAGGTACATGACTGACTTAGCAAGTAGACAGGCGCATAGTAAAAGACCCGTGAACAGTTATTAATATCAGTGCTTCATAGTAAAAGACCCATGAACAGTTGTTATTAATATCAGTGCTTCATAGTAAAAGACCCGTAAACAGTTATTAATATCAGTGCTTCATAGTAAAAGACCCGTGAACAGTTGTTATTAATATCAGTGCTTTCATAGGCAATATGTGTTGACTGACTGAAGCCGGGTGTGATATTGCAATTAAAATTCTCCTTGTGGGAGGTGATTTCCAATATGGTCCCTTTCTTTAACCAGGGAAAGGAGTACAATTTTATCACTTTTTTTCTTTCTGTCAGCCTTTAGCTGGGGAGAAATTGAATGAGTCAGAGGATTTGAGAGAAAGAAGGCAAATGACTTATTCCTCTGAGATTCTCACAAGCTAGAGCTCAGTTTTCTGGATTCAAACTTCTCAAAATAAGTTTTTAAGTTCTAGGAACAAGGGTAATTGTACCTTGCTTTGCCTGTCTCCAAGCACCTGATAAACAGTTCTCATAAAAACCCTTTTTGTGGGATTGAATTGGTCCTTCTCTAAGCCTGTTCCCTCATGCATATCATGGGAATAATAATAGCTATCCCATGGTTTTGCTGTGAAATTTAAATGGTATGAGGAAAGTAAAGAACAAAATAAAGAGTTTGCAACCCACGAGATTCACAATAAATGGGAACCATTGCTGCTACTGAGGCTGCAGTTGTCACCACTGGAAATGGAAACCACCACCACCCACTGTAGACCAGCAAGCCCACTGATCTCCAGCCTCTGAGTTCACTGAGCAAGGGCCCTGTCTCCGAGTTTTCCCACCCTTTGCTTATTACCGCCACATTCGCTGAATCGCCCTAGTGTTTGCAAAAAGGCAGGGCAAGATCTGGTCGAAGTTCACCAAGTCATTCTAGACAAGCAATAACAATCTGTTTCTGGGCTCAGAGCCCTGTCCAGTTCCTTTCAAATCTCTTCAGCAGTAACAATAAGAAATACATGATATATTACACACAGACACACACACACACACACACACACACGCACGTGTGTATGTGCACATGAGTGAGTTTGTAAGAATGACACCTTAGCCTTACCACATGCAAGGCATTCTGAGATGTTTCTATGCTATTCTACCTTTCCGTTTTTCTCTGTCACCCAAGCTGGAGTACAGTAGCACAATCTCGGCTCAGTGCAATCTATGCTTCCTGGGTTCAAGTGATTCACCTGCCTCAGCCTCCCAAGTAGCTGGGACTATAAGCATGCACTACCACGCCCAGCTAATTTTTTGTATATTTTAGTAGAGTCAGGGTTTTTGCCATGTTGGCCAGGCTGGTCTCGAACCCCTGACCTCAAGTGATCCACCCACCTTGGCCTCCCAAAGTGCTAGGATTACAGGCATGAGCCGCAACATCCAGCCTATTCTACCTTTCTTTTCTTTTTAAGTTCTAGGAGCAGTGAAATCTATAAATCTCCCCTTTAGCCTTCCTCCCCCAACAATTCTGAATCTTTCTTAGTTTCTCTTTGGCAGTCATTTCAGTGTCGTTTCATTTCAACCAGTGACTTTTCTTTTTGTCTTTGGCAGCTGTTCCCAAGCTGGTTTTTTTTTGGGGGGGGGGGTTGCATATTAATTAGATAGTTTGGCATTTAACTGGAATGAAGAGTCAGGCAAAAGGGTCATTCACACTCCAGTGCTATAGACCAGCCAATTTAATAAGTCTCTCCAACTCTAGCCTGCAGTTCTCACAGAGCACTTGCTGAGACGATTTACCAAAACAAAAGCAAAAGAGAGAGAGAGGTAAATTCCTATTCGAAAGGAAGGAGATTATTTGAGCTTGAAGGTTTCCAGAGTTCTCTATTCTGTCTCAGTTCTTGATTCTCCCCCTTCCTTTGCTCAAGCTTTTTTCATTAAAGTAATAATAATAGACTTTTATTGATTCCAAACTAAGGGCTTTGCATGATTATGTCATTTCTCCTCAAAACAACCCAATGGGATAGGCACTATTATATTATTGTCTCCGTTTTATACATAAGGAATCTGGGGCATACAGAGGTCCTGTAACTTGCCCAAGGTCACTGAGCCGGGAAGTGTTGGGGCAGGATTCAAAGCCAGGTTGGTCCAGAGCCTCAGTTTTTAAGGCTCAGTAGCTCATCTCCTGGCCCTTTAATTGTTACCTTGAGTTCACACAGCAATGCTTACTTGAAAGTACACATTTATTGTTGCCAAGATTCTTTCCACATACAGATAGCAGGTGGCAGGGATAATGAAAATGGGCTCAGCCTGCTCCCTGTGGGGAGACATCTTAGCTGCTCTTTGCGACCTTGCTTTTCCCTTATACTTTTAAGGCAGAAAGATTTCTGAATATGGATAGAACTTGCTTCTGGCTAACTCTATACCATAGGATTTCCCTAATGTATCGAACAAACATGTTGATGAGAATTGCAAGAAAAATAAATGGTTCAAGGCCAAGTAATATCGGAAGACAATAGGTTACAAGCTTTCAAATATTGTGTTCTGCCGAACTTCTCTGATACTTTAATAAGCCCCAAGGAGAAGGACAGGTATTATTATGTAGCGTTTCTAAACATTTAAGCACAAGAAACTTTCATCCCAAGAAAGGTATGTCAGAGCTATTACCGGAGGGGTGCAATACACCTAAGGGATTGCCTCAAGTGCATTACAGGTGTTGAGGGTGTATCATAATCATCACAAGGGAAGTTTTAAAAATATACACGCATCCTTCTGTATCATCACCAGCAAATTATGATTCGCTAGGATTGGGTAGGGCCTTGAGTGTGCATATTTTAAAAAGTTTTCTCCCACATGATCTTGAATAAACCCATCACCACCTCTTTGAAAACCTGTACAACAAAGGAAAGGCCTCCAGTGCTTCCAAAAAAAAACTTCTCCTAATAATGGGAACAAAACTACCATCTAGGTTCTTTTTACAATACACCAGTTCTTTTACACGCATTGCCTATTTTAAGCCTTAGACCACCATGGGAAGTAGGCATTACTATCCCTCTTTTACACATGAAGACTCTGAGGCACAGAAAGCACAGATCACACTAATCATCTCAGAGGTTTTGAACACCTACAAACATGGCCAGTTTGGAGATTTAATGTCTTACATAATAAGCATTAATGGCTTTTGATAGTTTATTCTCTCTCTCAATTCCTACTGTCTTTGAGACCCTCACCTTGCCAAAAGGGTTTTTTAAATTGCATTTTAGGTTTTGGGGTACATGTGAAAAACATGCAAGATTGTTGCATAGGTACACACGTGGCAGTGTGATTTGCTGCCTTCCTCCCCTTCACCTATATCTGACATTTCTCCCCATGCTATCTCTCCCCAACTCCCCACCCCCCACTGTCCCTCCCCTATGTCCCCCAACAGACCCCAATGTGTAGTGCTCCCCTCCCTGTGTCCATGTGTTCTCATTGTTCAACACCCACCTACAAGTGAGCACATGTGGTGTTTGATTTTCTGTTCTTGTGTCAGTTTGCTGAGAATGATGGTTTCCAGGTATATATGTGTCCCTACAAAGGACAACAACTCGTTGTTTTTGATGGCTGCATAATATTCCATGGTGTATATGTGCCACATTTTCCCTGTCCAGTCTATCATCAATGGGCATTTGGGTCGGTTCCAGGTCTTTGCTATTGTAAACTGTGCTGCAATGAACAGTCGTGTACATGTGTCCCTATAGCAGAATGATTTATAATCCTTTCGATACATACCCAGTAATGGGATTGCTGGGTCAAATGGAATTTCTATTTCTAGGTCTTTGAGGAATGGCCACACTGTCTTC